AGTTGACTTTTTCTATTCAAAGGAATAAAGAATTAGTAATTGATCATTATCCTAAATTAGAATGAGAATTAAGTTATTTGCAAAAGCAGTTAGAAACAATAAAAATTGAAAAGAATAATGAATAAATTATAAACGGTTTTTGTCCTTCGCCCCTCCCGTCATCTTCCATTTCGAAGCAGCAAAAAAATCAAGGGTAATGGCCGTTTTTCACCCTAAAAAATATTTTAAAATGTGTAATAGACAGTTGTCTATTCAATTTTAGTTCTTTTTACCTAAAACGCCCTATCCTGGCCCTTTTTCTTCGAAAAAGAAAACGGGTGCGAACTCCCGCCAATTCTTAAAATAACATTATATGGAACAGTGTTTTAAGTGTAAACTTTCATTTCCCTCTTCCGAACTTATTAAAAAAAAGAGTGGAAAAAGTTTTTGTTCAGTGTGTATCTTGTATAGTTTGTATAGATGTGAAATCTGTAATGAAAAATTTTTGTTAAGGGACTTTGGTTCAAATTATGAGCAGGCTAAAAATATGGCATGACAAGCCAAACAAGAGCATGTAAAGAGTTGCGGTGCTTAAAATTCTGTCTATCGACCCTTCCGGAACAGGAACTACTGGAATATGCTTAATTTGAGGCTCCACCAAATTATTTTTTCAGTTTTTCAGTAAAAAATGACAAGAACACTATGAATATATTCTCAACTTAGTTCAAAAAGAAAAACCCAATATTGTCTTAATAGAAACTGCTTATTATGAAACAATAAGCGGAAACAAAGACATAATGGATTTGGAAAAATTAGCGGGAGCCTTGGAATGTTTAAAATTCCATACTAAAAGCCAAATAATTATGAGACAAAACAAACTTACTAAGGATTTTGGGGCAAAATTAAAAAACGAGGAAGAAACCATTCCTAATTTGTTCCATTTTAGCGGAAAATGAATATATTATGAAAAACAAGAAACAATTAAAGCAAGAGCGGGAAGAGCAAAAACAAAAACTTCAAGAATGAATCAAGGAGATGGGCGGGAAAGTTCAGAGCAAACCCAAATCCAAGCCCAAAGAATCCAAGAACTCTCCCAGCACCAAGTCGATGCCCTTATCATCTGGCATCTTTACTCAAAATCTAGTCCATATCTTGGAGAATTCCCAAGAATATCAAGAAATAGCCGTTATTGCTAGTCGAGGTGAAGGTAAGACTTGAACGACGGCTCATTGAGTTTTGCCGTTAGTTCACAAAAACCGAGAAAAATTTCTCTGATTAAGAAGATATCCAGACGACTCCCGTTATTCACTTTTAAACTATTTTCAAGAAAGAGTTAATGAATACTGCGATTGGAATAATATTTCGGTTAGCGAACAAAAAAGATTGTGAGAAGTAATTGTCCGCGGAACTTTCTATGAAAAAAATAACAGCATCATTTTTGCCGAGTTAGAGCATTACAGTAAGGCAAGAGGTGCCTTTTCCAAAAATCCTTTCTTAATTGTTTTTGATGAAGCAATTCCTCGCATGCTTGATTGAAAAACTAGTTATTTAACTAGCGAACCAGACAAATTTAGTGATTTCTGAAAAAGCATGTGAAGAAACAAAGAACTTTCCAAACCAACTATTTTACACTTATCTAATGCTTATGACCGAACCTATCACCGGCTGGCCGATTGGGATGAAGAAATAGATGAAATTGCTGATCAAGAATTATGAAAAAAAGGCGATGTTGAAGACTGATATTGAGAAAGAGAAAAAGAAGTATTTTGTAAAGATACTCAAAAAATGGTCAAAAAAAGATTAGTTTTTTTCCGGAAAAAAGGCGACCAAGAAGGTTGACCGGCCTTTTTCATCAAAAAAGGCGACTTTAATGTGAAAAAAATTGAGCCAAGTAAACTTATTCCTTTAGAAATATACAATAATAAATTTTTATTATCTCGCACAAAAAAAGAAGAATATTTACTTTACTTGGAGTATTTGGAAAATTCTCCTAACAAAAAAAAACTGGTTGATTATCATTTTGATACCAAAACTTTTTTCTTAACTCCGCCTAGTCCTTGAAAAGAATTATTAGAACCTAAATTATCCAAAAGTAAGAAAAAAGAGTGAACTGATTGAATTAATGTCAAAGTCCTTTTTTTTAGCAACTTTGAAATAAGGAATGAAATAACTGAATTGCTTTCTTAAAATTTTTAAATACCTATGTCTAACGAAAAAACTCTAAAAAAACTTGAAGAATCCATTATTCCTTATCTCAAAAACAAAAATGATTGAAAAGATAATTTAGAAAAAAAAGTTTGGGAAATCTTAACTGTCAGCAAACCCGTTCATACCTTAGTCGGTGAAGTTAAAGGACACATCAAACTAAAAAATAAAGAAGAAAAAGATTACTTAATCCTTTGATTGCAAGAGGGAGAAGAAAAAATTCATGTCTACCAAGATAAATTAAAGCGTCCTGAAATTTGAGAAGAAATATTAAAAGGTAAATATCATAAGCAAGTTGTCTTTTTAGATTTTGTAAAAGTTTATAAGTTAAAAATTTTGGTGGATATTAGATATGAAAAAAATTAGTATTATGTCAAAGTTAACTGAAGCTGACATCCGCATGGAAATAGATGAGGAATTAAAGAGTAAAGGA